GGTGTGGGTGTGGGTGTGGGTGTGGGTGTGGGTGTGGGTGTGTCGGTGTGGGTGCGGGTGGGTATTCAGTTTTATTCATACCCACACCCACACCCACACCCTCACACCCACACCCACACCCACCCACACCCACACCCACCCTCAAGAAAAACAGTACTTAATTTTCTGACTTTCATCATCGCGTTACGAAATCATCATCGCGTTACGTTAGTGTGACAAAAGTATCACCCTCCATAAAAAGATCTTCAGAGACTTTTTTTTCTTTCGTTGAATAGGCCAAAGTGTTTTCTATTACCTGCCGATAAAAAAGTTTTGCAACAGTAGTATATATTTAGAGAAAAACAAACAAAAAGTGGAGCACCTTTAAATTTTTGTCCATAATTCATCATCGCCTTTTGTCGTATATTCTTACTGTAATTTTCGGACGACTCGTTCAAATGAGATAATATTTTCACAGATCGTGGGGATGACACAGGCTCATCGTTTCGGTGAAAGATGAACCTTCAACACTACCTAGTTGTTGACAAAAGCTGATACAACTGTAGCAAAAACGTCATCGCGTTATGTGCGTTTAAGCTGATATATTAGTGGATTGCAACTTTTTTGTATAATTGATCGGAAAAAATAAAAGTGAACCTAAACAACTTTTGACTAGTGTATTTTGTTATACTCTAGGCCATCTTGAGGGTGTGGATGTGGGTGTGGGTGTGGGTGTTGGTGTAGGTGTGGGTGTGGGTGTGAGTGTGGGTGTCGCTGAGTGTGTGGGTGTGGGTGTCGCTGAGGGTGTGGGTGTGGGTATCTTTTCTTCATGTCCCACACGCACCCTCACACCGACACTCACACCACACCCACACCCACCCTCAAGATTCCAAATGGGAAATAGCCAGAAAATTCTGTATGCAACTTACCCGAATGCGTATTATATTTAAAAAAAATAATACTTCTTACATGAATTGGAAATTCATTCTCATGTGTTTTATTAAGTAAAATAAAACCAAATAATCAACGTGGTGATATTTACATGAAATATGATAACAAGTACGAAATATAAGTAACTATAAATAGTTTCAATAACTCAAAGTAATGATTTCTTCAATATTAAACAATTCAAATACGGCATAAAAGGATAGTATTTAAAGCATCAGAATTAATTTTACTAATAAATGCACGCGAACTTATATCACAATTTCATAATCTTCCATGATTATTGGTGATTTATATTAATTTTAATTTGTTTTACGCTATTGAAGATTATTTTGTTTCTTGTTAATGATTGTATGATCGCCACAAAATGAATAAAAAATCAAGAAACATCCTTTAGTTATATGAAGTCATTCTCGGTTGACTAATCTTAATATAATGAATCAAGATAATTCAAATCCGAATAAAAATTAAATAAAATCGATCATTAATCTCAAGAAATTAGGTCAAAATGATGTCAAAATACTACCTTTTTTAACAGATTAAAGTCGTTTTCTTATAAATTTTTAATTAAATAGCTCATTTATATAACTTTTTAATGAATGGCTACGATGAATAGTTGATTGATTTTCACGGAAAACATCTGGTCAAAGACTAATAAAATTATAATGAAATATTTCACTTTTACTTAGATTGTTGATATTCATTCTAAACA